TATTTATGTGTATATATATATATATATATATATATATATATTTGTTTTTAAGTTTGATATGTGGAGTGATAAGTTGTAAGACTGTTTTTATATAATTTTATTTAATTTATATTTTATTTTTTATATTTTATGTACCGTATTTTTAATTATATTAGTGATATTTTAAATAAATATTTATGGATTTATTTTTTATATTAAAATATAATTGCCTGTTTTTGTTTGTGATGATGATAAATTTGTTCTTAAAGTTGATTTTGACATATAAATTAAAATAGTAAATTAAAATGAAATATATTTGGTAAATTTAAAGTATAATTTTACATGGAAGAGAAGTAAAATATCATTTATATCAAGTGTAGAATTTCTAATATTTATTTTCTGGAATTGATTTAAATTTACTATAATTTACTTTTGTTCATTTACATGATAAAAATTAACTTTAATCACAATAAACTTAAGTCTAAGTTAAAAAATTCATAGAATTTTTATCATGATAAATAAAAAAATACATTTTCCAACTTAAAAAAAACTAAGCATTATTTTTAAAAATATACTTATTTAATTAAAAAACACAATTAGTATATGTAAAAAAACTCAGTAATAAAAATAAAAATGAGACTTGAATATCAATAAAAAATTAAATATATAAAAATCGTCTTATAACAGACAACTTCTATGTAAAATTACCAAAAAGAAAATGATTAAGTGAACTTTAGTTTATGAAAAATGAAAGTCATTATTAGACTACCCAATTCTGTACGGTAAAGCAATAACTTTAGTTTTAAAAGAAAGTAATTCTGTACCATTTATCTAAATTAGATTTCATAAAATAACAAAAAGTTTTTGCATTTCCTTACATCAGTTACGAATGAAAATGTCGCTGTAATTAATTAATCTAAGTTGAAGTTAACTAAAATTCCAGATTTTTTATTCTATATCCGACAAAACCTGACACACACGTATTTGTGATATATATGACAGGTCTTACCATCGTACATGACAGTTATTATGAAGTTGACAGATAGAACATCCAGTGATGAACATCATTAGTTGAAGCTAATCTCGTTAACAAGTGGTCGAGCTTTACACATGGCATTCAATGGAGTTAATCTCGACAAGGTGAACCAGTTTGCCTCTCTCATATCGATCTCTTCCTCATTTACTCGTTTCCAATCAAAGCACTGAATCAACAATCCCAAAGTTAATCCAACGTTTTGCAGAGCCAAACCTTCTCCTGGTCAAGCCCTTCTTCCCATTCCAAACGCAACTACCTTTTTCTCCAATCCCTCTTCATCAAACCTCTCCGGTTTGAAACTTGTCGCTTCAGTCCACGTCGCTGGGTCTCTGTGCATGGCCCAGATGTTAGCCATCACTAGGGTGTCTCGTGGAACGTTGAATCCCTCAATGATGACGTCTTCCGAGGACACGTGTGGTATTGCCAGTGGAGCAGGAGGGTGCAATCTCAGTGTTTCGAGTATTATCTTCTTAAGGTATGTCAGTTTTGGAAGGTCTGACTCGTTTACCAAGCGATCTTTTCCGACGTTAAAGTCCAATTCATCTCTTGCTTTTTTCAACATTTCTGGGTGGTTTAATAAATTTGACAGTGACCATTCTAACGTCACGGCAGAAGAATCTGTGCCCGCGAACAGCATTGCCTACAAATCAAACCCAATATCTTTTCAAATCGTTCAATTATTTATTATCAACATATTCTTTGTTATAATCTTCAACTTTGAATGACAATTAAAAGTGCAACATCATGACTAATTAAAAAAATCATAATCCAATAGTTTTTTTTTTTCTGATTACATTATATATATATATATATATATATATATATATATATATATATATTTAATATAATAAAAGCTTTGAATTTACAAAGTATGACTATATTTTAAAAATTGTATTATGTAAACTATATATATTAACTAGTTAATTTTTTAGTCATAGAGAATTGGTTAATTAAATCTTATGGAAAGTATAATATTGAAATTTCTATGCAATTATCAAAATTAAATTAAGACAATTTTATAAAAGCATTACCAGAACAAGGCCTTTGATGATATGATCACTGTAATATTGAGGCTGTGATTCCTGCAGAGTGAGAAGATGATCTATCATGGTATTCTCCCTCTCC